GTGCTCACGGGCAGGATGGCACTTTCTGTCATAGCATACAAATATGACAAATTATTATACGAGTGGACTACTAGATGTCCCATATGTGACATGACAACTATATATAGTTGGTTGTTGGTTGTACTATTAACCTTGCTCTAAATGCACGGTTAATGGCTGGCCAGCTGCCTAAGCATCAACTGGTTAATGGATGGCCAGCTGCCTAAGCATCAATTGTTCCTAAATTTGGGTAACAGGAAAATTTCCTTCCCTAGCTTGTTGCAAGAGGGATATTTACTAATACTTTTGTAAAGCTATACAGAGTACCGGTTATTTTCCTATTTTCTCCATCCAGATAGAAAAAAATACAAGAAAAGAAAAAGAATATGACTACAAAAGGGTAAATTGTACAAGGAGAGGCAAATAATATGGACATGCATACTCCACACAAGGGAAAAATGACCGATTTTCATTTTTTTTCTAGTCAAAAACCAGAAGTCTGTGCATATGGTGAACTTTTTTCAAGAAGCTTTCAACCAAGCAAAAAGTTGAAGGACCAAAACGTAAAGACGAGAGAAGCAATCTTCGGCCTCGTCTATAAAACCAGGGACCAAAATTTAGTTTCAAAAAATTAGCAGGAGATATACGAACACATAAGGCTCCACCAGGCAGGGACTAAAGTTTAATTTCAAAAAATTGGCAGGGGCCGCGCGAACACGTACCCCCTCTATCACAAATTATGACGTTCACTCTCCCACTTGGGGAGATGATAGGCCAGCGCACCCACCAAGTGCAATGTGGGCCCCTAACCTAGGCCACGGGCCTTCTTGATCGCCCGTCGACCCCGTCCAGGTAAGTATGGAGCAAGGGCGCACCTGCCTCTCCTTTTATAGCGAGCTCGCCCACCCGATGCCCTCGGCTAGGCGAGGTGGGACTAAACCGAAGCGCAGCAGCAGCCGCGTGCGGGACGGGAGCACGCGACAGAAGGTTTTAGATGGGCTCGCTCGTTTTTGTCCCATTCCATGGGCTTGGAACGCGAGCTGTGGCAGTGGGCCTTGAGAGCGAGAAACGTCTCGCGGTTGTGGAGCCTGGTTCCTCGTTACTATTTTTTTCTTCTCTTTTCCCCTGGGAGAGCGGTTTTTTAGGGCACCCTGGGGCAGTGTTAGATGAATATATATAGAAACGGCGCAAATTATGTCCCCCTGATTTTTTTTCGAATGAAGAAATATGCTTCGTAAACAGTCATAATAATTTTTCTTTGCAAGGATGAGATGATATCTACGTGTGCACGCCACTTGTCTTAGGACAAAGGAAAGGGATTTGTTTTCACCCAGCAGAACGGTCGCATTTTACTTCCGGATGAAACCATGAAAGGAAGGACATAGCACTCTCTCTCGGACAAAACAACAAAAATAAATGGGTATGTCTAGGGCACATCTAGATGTGCAATAACTAGAGTATAAAGAGAAAAAAAAATATTCACACGAATCTCAATGTAAGATCAATAACATATAACTTAGATGTGCAATACTTATGTTATATTTAGATGTGCTTTAGCAAAACTGAAAAGAAATACCTGAATGAAAGAAACTAAGCGAAGGTGAACCTTTGCCCCTCTCACTGGCAAGCAAGATGGATCGCGCGCAATAAACAAAAAAAGAATAGTGACCATAGGATCAGCGACCTGCCTGAGATTATCCATTATATGCATGTACGGCCGACAGCTCATAATGGACAATCAACTAAGCGGTGGATTGTTGGTTATCAAACCAAACAGACAGGTAGATCGTTTGTCCTCTGGTCCTGGCCGCTGCAACCTTAGCCGCCGTCAGAAGGCCAATTTTCTAACGCCTTCCTCCGGCGGCTCCCCTCCGCCGGCGATCTCGATCGTCGGTGGTGAGGAGGATCACCGGATTCACGTGTGTGGATCGTTTTACTCTTTTATAGTCTAGGTTTTAGGTTGTTCATCGTCTTGGCTTTAGCGGCGACGATGACAGCGTTGAATAAAGATTCTTCGGTTTCATTCCTAACGAGGCCTTTGGTTCTATGATTGAGGTTGATTTTGGAAACCAGTCTGTTTAAGTAAGGATGGTGTGGCCGGCGGCATCCTCGTGGTGGACCTGTGTTCTCGGGCTCCGCCGTTGCGACGGTGTTTGCTCCAGTGCCGGCGCGGAGCTTGGGAGGTAGTCCAGGAACGAATGCAGATTGTGGTCTGCATCGACGACATCTAGAAGACGAAACGTGTGCTAGGTTCATGGTTCGTGGATGGCAGGTAAGATTTCCTCCTTCGGCGTCTTACTCATGGTGGGGTACCAGATCTGGAGTTCGATGTCGTGTCCAGGGTGTTGCCCCCGTCTGACTCGTTCAACGAGAATGGCTCACTTTTGGTGAGCCACCTTGGAGGTCCGCAAAGCTGCATAGCAGCGATGAAAGCCACGTCGAGCTCGGATGAGCAGGTGATCCGTCATTGTTTTCTTTAGTGACTACTATGGTGGTGACGGACGTTGGTTTGAAGTACAAAGATATTCTGCTATCTTTTCAATTTTGTCATGTTGGTCCGTACGTGGCTTGTACTTTGCTCTTTATATAATATGAATGGGACACGTATTACCATGCAAAAAATAAAACTAAGCGGTGGATTATCAAGACGGCACAACATCAAGAATTTGCGGAAGACTGATACTCCGAGCTATCGATTTGTACAGACATCCCAGAGTTGATCAACCAATGACAATGTATAAACAAGATCTCCCAGCACTTTCATGCAATGAACTCACCCCTCCGTCAACCTCAATTCGGTGCATCCTGCATCTACTCGTTTACACTGGCAAAGCCCTAAGAAGATTGCAACGCGAGGTCAAAGATATCATGAGTCAGCATTCATCTTTGCACATTGGTGTGCTGCTGCTGCTGCTGCTGCTGCTGCTGGCCCTCGTACTGCGCATAGTGAGCCGGCTGGGTCATGTAATGTGGATTACCATCAGTGCGAGTCTGAGCCTGTCAAGACGAATTCGAATTAAAAATTCATCAGTACTATGTACCTAGGTCCTAAGTACTACTCCCTCCGTTCCGAATTACTTGTCTTGGATTTAGATACCTCCGTATCTAGACAAATCTAAGACAAGCAATTCGGAACGGAGGGAGTAGTAGTATTTTAGAGTTTGGAAGAGATGCAAAATTCAAAATAGATACTCCCTCCGTCCCATAATATAAGAACCTTTTTTACACTAACGTTTTTGACACTACACTAGTGTCAAAAAGATTCTTATATTATGGGACGGAGGGAGTATATCATTTCAGTGAGGGGGGAGATACAAGGACCTGGAACTTCCCTCTACAATTGATCCCAAACACGATTGGACCCATGTGATTTTTCTATCACAATTGTTAATCAATTTATTGTGCAGAAGTGTTTTCGCAATACAGATTTTGAGTATTATGACTCTGTAATTGTTAATCAATTTATTGTTTAGAAGTGTTTTCGTAATACAGATTTTGAGTATTATGACTCCGTGTAATGAAACCGTTATTTGACAACAACAAAAAACTGACTTTCAGATATGAGCAAGCGGTATCTATAATGTCATGCATTATATACAAACCTAATGCCATAGACCGGGGAAGGTGTAAAAGAGCGGGATCAATGACTGCAACCAATGTAAAAGGTTGCTTGTTAACCATGTTATTCTACCCTGCTTCTTATAGGGGAAAATGGAATTTCAGAAATACATAGTACACAACACACAAATCATTCAGAGATCCCCAATATAACAAACGAAGAAGAGTGAATGAGTGGAAACAAGAATTTTCCAAGTGTGTGGAAGATGTGCAAACCCCATGTGCACACTGTACATGAAACAACAAAACAAACATAATAGTCTCTTTAAATCACCAAATTGATATAGAGGTTATTAAAGCAACACAAAAGTAGGGAAACGAGATCATCAGATCAATACTTGAATTTCCGGTAATTAGTGTGTTTTTGAACTAGATATACCACACAGTTTTTACATCTGTAACAATCTAGGTATGCAAATGTTGTAACTACTAGTACCAAAAGGACATAAGAGCACAACGATAAAGCTAGGTAACAAACCTGATTAGTGGTGCTATAAGCATCAGAATTGGCATATGTTCCAGCATATGTTGCCTCAGCACTGCCATATGCTGCATATGCTGCCTCGGGATTGCCATACATTGTGGCATATGTTGCCTCAGAACTGCTGTACGGTTGAGCATACCCTGAAATAGGATTGTAACTAACTGATTCAAAACAATGGCGCAAGAAAACAAGCATATAATTTCACCTAAGAAGTATTCTGAGTAATAGCTTGTTTGGCCCAACTTCAACATCAGCTTATCCAGGCTAAAAGCCGGAGATGGCCAAACAGCTGGCCTCATCAGTTCTCTATAAAGTTAGTTTCACAAACTAAAGTCAGGTTGTACAGGCCACAGGATAGTAAGTTCAAGTCTCAAGATGCCTATTTTTATGGTTTTGCATGGCATCACAGACTTTCCAAACGGGCTTGTATCTTTTTCTACTTTTGCATATAAATACTAGGCATCTTTTTCGTAGTGATAGTAGGAAAATCTGATTAGAGTTAATAAATATTCATAATATCACATACCTAACTAGATTCCACAAGCCAGCCCAACAATGAACAACCACAAACTGGCCCAAGAAGGCTGAAACTGCTAAACGCAAGTTATCTATGATAGCTGATATGCTAAGCATCTCTTCTACTCTCCTCCCTAACTACTATAACCTTTATTCATTTTAGTATCTATTTTGTCTCGGACGTTATGGGCCAAAAACAAATAATTCGATCATATGGTGGATTTGGTTGTGTATTTTTGTACGCTATGGAATTAAAAATACTGATTAAAGCAGTTATGATAAATACTTCTAAAGCTATTAGCTAATACAGAAGAGGAAAAGGATAATAACCCATAGAGATTCAGTAGTGTACCAGGGTTAGTTACAGCTGCTGCCGTGGTGACAGCAGTGGCCCGCTTTTCAGCATTTACAAGCTCACCCCGAAGCCTCTCAATCTCACTAGCCACGGCAATCATATTTTTCTCCATTGCTTTACTTTGTAAAAGGTTATCAGCATGTGCCTTCTTTTCGAATTCAACCGCAGCCCTACCAATATTATACGGAAGGACATTAGTGGAAGACAGTGGATCGGGTCTGATGGTACAGAGCAAGACCCACTAGATCAGTACCAACATCACAGAAAAGCTTGCTGACCATTACAAGTGAAAAGGACAATATCAATATTTAGACTGAAGGCGAATCATAAATGCTCCCACAACCCTAGATATCTATTATCATACCACAACAATTGATCTCAGATGGGATGCTTGAAACTTGAAATCGGTATAGACTTCCTACCATTTCAATTCATGTGCAGTACATTGACAAGTCCAATAATCCAAAGTTCATCTATAAATCTTACAGACAAACCCCAATAGCAACCATTACATAGCTATTTTCCTGCTCTTTCATGCAGCCATTCTAGGCTAGATGGTGTCTTTAACAGTTCACATATATGTTTGGATTTGAACAGGGCTATCCTGATTAGCAACCCTATCAAAATTACCTTCGCATGTTGTGACCTCGGGTGTTGGGGGAAGGTGGGAGGAGATGGCAACATGAATCAGGGTTTCAGTAAATAAGCTAACTTAAGGAAAAGGATAACTTTGCCCTGAGCCGCCTTCCCACAATACGTCAAGGTGGTTGCAGGTGCTGCCATGCCGGCTGTAGCTATGGCCCCAAAAGCATCCATACATTACAAGTGTGATTGATGGCACAACAACTCTAATTGCAATAATTAATTGAACACTACCCTAGCGGCCTAGTATATGAAATCTATGAGGCCATTTGGTTCATATATGCCTCACCAACTGAAGTGTGATATGCCATGCGACCTATGACCAATGTTTGATTTGTCATCAGTTAAACAATGCAGCATGGAAAATGAAGTAAAATGCATGCATTATCCCTTGACTCCTCTCCAAAGCCTGGTGTATAACATTTTGCAGATGGGCAGAACTTGCTAAATTAAACAGCCCTTATGCTTCTAAGTCATTAACAATTGCAGCCCTATCAAATTAAGAAGCAGATGAGCATATAACCCTCCAATATAAATTCAAATAACCTACAAACTGCTGTAGAAATAACTCTGCCGCGGGTCCTACGTTGGTCTCTAATCTCTAGCAAACAAGCAAACATCCACAGCCCTGAGTAACTCTATCTTGCTACCAAAATATCTCAACTAGGCCATACAACAGCAATTGCTCAAAGAAATTTAACAAATTGTTAAGCACATAAGCAATGAAATCTTTCACATGTGAGCTCATAATTCTACTCATGCAACGACCGTATCGAAGGTTCTCGAAAACCAGCTTAATTGTGTGACATCATTGATCTTCAGGGCAAAAAACAAGGAACCATTGATCTGCCCTAACCCTAATGCTTGATGATATGCTAACAATCTAAAAGTTTCTTTGGAGAGCAGTTTGCTTGAGCATAGCAATCAATAGCAATTCAGCAATCAGCACAACAAGGGCTGCTTTGCATTCTCATTAATGCCCAGAAAACTTTTCCCTAGCAGGTTCTGTGGACTAAAAATTCCTAAAATATGCTAAGATGTGACTTAACGCTCTAAGCACATACTACATAATATCCACACCAATCGTCCAAAAAGATATAGTACTATGTTTCAGTGCTGGAACTTGATAATCTTAAACTGAGTGATGGCATGAACTGGGAGTAGGGTTTTGGTCCCATTTGAATAAGAGGGGTGACGAGGTGTACCCTTTTTGATTCTATAAAATTGAACAGATGGTAATACCTGCCCTTCTGGATCTCCCGTCGCATGGTCTCAATCTGCGAGCGGACGTTCTCCGACTTGGCGGAATTGGACTGCGCGCGCCCTAGCTGCTCGCGGAGGCCTTTGAGCCGGTCCATGAGTTCGTTGCGCGCGGCAGCGAGCACCCGCACATCGGCATGGACCTGCTCGATCTCCACGCGCGCGCCGGCGACGGAGCGCGCCTCGGCCTCGATGCGCGCGGCCTGGTCGGCGATGGCGCAGACGTCGGCCTCGCGCTCCATGCGGGCCCTGGTGCCGGCGATGGAGACGGCCCGGAGCTCGTGCTGCGCGGAGATGAGCTGCTGCTGGAGCGCGACGTGGGTGGCGGCGAACCGCTGGTTGTCGACGAGGAACTCCTGGATGTCCCGGTCCCGGGCGACGATGCGGTCCTCGAGGGCCGCCACGGCGGGGTGCTGCGCGGGGCCCCCGCGCGGGTGGTGGAGGAGGGCGCCGTGCGGGGGCTCGTCGCGGTCGTCGCCGGGCTGCGGGTGCTGCGGCGCGCGGCCGAGCAGCGGCGGGCCGGAGTCGTGGAGGCTCATGACGTGCGGCGCGCGGCGGCCGGCCATGGGGAGGCGGGCGGCGGCGGAGGGGTTTGGGGTCAGACCGATCGGTCGGCCGGTCGCCTCGATGAGGGCAAGGGCGGAGGGGAACGGGAGGAAGAACAGGCTGGAACAGATGACGGGAGCCTTCGTCCCGGGCTCTGTTTGGGCTGGACTGGCAGTCTCAACTCTCTCAAGCGCTGCTATTTTGCTTAACTTTTCCGGCCCATTAACCATGTGCCGTGTGTGTATATATAATTATATACTAGCACAAATGCCCGTGCATTGCAACGGGTACACAATAAATTGTTCATAGAAATTTTAAATAAAAACTCAAACAACTTTGCAAGGAGCAAAACATTATTAGAAGTATTGAAAGGTGCATTTTCTATGCCATGTTGAAAGATCAATCTCATAATTCACGAAGAAATATTTTCTAATAATTAGTTCATAATGGAACACATAAAAATCTGTCAATTTTCTACATAAAACAAAAATGTGGTATGGGTGCCAAGTTGCAGGTTGAGCATCACCAGCATATTCTGAAGTTGTTGATGGAAGATCATGTTTCCGGATGTTGTTGAGGAAGAGTATCACTATGTCAGCCATCATATTCCTTTGTTTATATGGGAACCAAGGATAAGAGCGGTAGTATGATGAGAGAGGGGAAAGAAAAGGCTTTCCATGAAAACGTAATACAATTTACATTCACCAAAAAGCAACATAATATCACTACATCAAATCATAGTATGTGCCAACACAATCTTTACCTTCTTGGTGCATCTAATCTGCATTCTATGGATTTCAATTAAAATTCATGGCCCAAAACTTATGTTAGGAGATGTGCATTAGTTATTTCAGTTTATCGTAGCAAAAAACCAGCAACTAAAGGCAAAAGAACGTGAAGCCAACATCTTCCTAATCAATAGAAACTTATGAGTGTTTGAACATGATGGAACTACTAAACCTTATAAGATAAGCTTCTAATTTTTTTATGTGCGCTTAAGAGTGCAAGGTTAATCAAGACATATCAGATATGTTGATTGGAATGAAAATATATTGTGAAGAATGAAAACACATTAGATATGTTAATTACTTTGTTAATATTACCTTAATGATGAAGAGTCTTTATCACGATGGGAAAACCCACAAGCACAGAAATCACATCCATGCACTAAGTGACCACGGGACGAAACGAATCATTCCATTTTTCAATGTATATATCAGGCTATATTTTTAGTGAAAATTGTATGTGCAAAGCACATTTGTTGGACAAGAAAGATGATTGGCTGTTGTCGAAGCTGCTTCCGTGATGCATTCTAGTCACCAACAAACAGTAGCCACAAATCCATTGCATTTTTCCATTGCATATGCATGCCTAATCACCAGCACCCACAAACCCACCGCACCTCTCTTGCGCTTGTAGTCTTTCGACTGTGTGCACTCTTCGTCATCTCTAGTGCGAGGGCCACCCATGCTCCTTGAGAGATATGGCCGAGGAAACTGAGGCTGGAGCGTCGGGCGCCTTGTGCCTCTTGAAGCAATCATAGTAGTCGTCAGATCGCGGTTTTGGGCGAAGGCTTGGCGCCGGCAGCAGCGCTCAAAGCGTAATCCCGCTCGCGTGCCGCTACCTCTTGTTGGTGGGTTTTTTTTTTTTTTGAACATCAGTACAGGCACAAGCTTATACACGCGCATACACTCACCCCTATAAACACACACATGCACATCCTATCCCTATGAGCACCTCCGAAAGACTGAGCTGGCATATCATCTTGAGATTTACGGAGTCACCGTAGGCACCTCGTCGTCGACGGGAACATCTCCTCCCATTGATTGCGCATCGCCGGGAATCCTGAAATAAATCTCTTTTTGCTTGGTTGGAAGACTGCGTGTAGTGGAGTTTGCGTCCCGGTCACTGTTGGTTTACATATGTTGGCTGCTGGTTTTTGTGGGCAGGTGGGATGTAGATGGCCCGCTCGTTCTGCATCGATAGTCGCTGGAACACACCGTCGCAAGCATTCAAGGAGAACGTGAGATCGCAATAATGTGGTGGTGGGTCAGCAGACGCGTAACCTCATCGCGGTGGCAACGACGACCATGGTGTCATTGGTGTTATACGATTGGCTACTGGAGGTCATCCTGTACTCCATATCGTCCAACCTTTCATTTGTCGGCTTTCGTCCTCGTCTACTCCATCCATCCACGGGATCAAGAACAATGGTTGGCCGCGGAGTCGGATCGGCCCAGCTCTGGCCGTCCGCCTCGAGTGCCACCGCCACGGAGTGCATCGATCCCTAGCGAGCTTTGCGCCGCACTTGCCATATATGTTACAACGATTCCGTCAGAGGAGGAGGATTTTAAGGAAGGAGGGGCGGAGGAGCTGCCATCATATATATGGAGGAGGATTCATGAGTCATGAAGAAGAGTCCCGACTCAGACTCTTTTTTTCCTTGGCTCTGTTGGGCCGTTCAGGCTGGCCCATACGAATGACACACCCAGCCGTGGACGAAGTGACCTACCCTTGAACAAATCGTTCTTTTTTACGTACCAGATATATGTAGTATACACAGGTAAAATAGTACCACCTCAGATGTAGAAAATAATATGGGTGAAAAAAAACTGAAAGCGTAAATTCATGCGAAAAATGTATTATGACGGTGAATCCACGGAGTCAATCTATGCTTTATTATTAGGGGAAGATTAGTATTTCGTTTCATTTCGTTTTGAGCATAGGGAAAATAACTATGAAGCTCATAGTTTAGTTAAGGCTGCTACTACTCTTCCAGTAGGGCGCCATGTTTGGCTAGGGACAGTCCCAGATATTATTTGTATTCCAGATGTTTTGAGCAATGAATAAATCCCCAGTGCCAATTATTATTATTTTGTCTCAAAAATATTATTATTATTCTATTTTTTATATAAATCCATCTCTGATGTCTTCATTGTTGGAAATATGCCCTAGAGACAATAATAAAATGGTTATTATTATATTTCCTTGTTCATGATAATTGTCTATTGTTCATGCTATAATTGTATTAACCAGAAACCATAATACATGTGTGAATACATAGATCGTAATATATCCCTAGTAAGCCTCTAGTTGACTAGCTCGTTGATCAATAGATGGTCATGGTTTCCTGACCATGGACATTGGATGTCATTGATAACGGGATCACATCATTAGGAGAATGATGTGATGGACAAGACTCAATCTTAAGCGTAGCACAAGATCGTGTAGTTCGTTTGCTAAAACTTTTCTAATGTCAAGTATCATTTCCTTAGACCATGAGATTGTGCAACTCCTGGATACCGTAGGAATGCTTTGGGTGTACCAAACGTCACAACGTAACTGGGTGGCTATAAAGGTGCATTACAGGTATCTCCGAAAGTGTCTGTTGGGTTGGCACGAATCGAGACTGGTATTTGTCACTCCGTATGACGGAGAGGTGTCTCTGGGCCCACTCGGTAATGCATCATCATAATGAGATCAATGTGAGTAAGTAGTTAGCCACGGGATCATGCGTTACGGAACGAGTAAAGAGACTTGCCAATAACAAGATTGAATGAGGTATGGGGATACCGATGATCGAATCTCGGGCAAGTAACATATCGATAGACAAAGGGAATTGTATACGGGATTGATTGAATCCTTGACATCGTGGTTCATCCGATGAGATCATCGTGGAACATGTAGGAGCCAACATGGGTATCCAGATCCCACTGTTGGTTATTGGCCGGAGAGATGTCTCGGTCATGTCTACATGGTTCCCGAACCCGTAGGGTCTGCACACTTAAGGTTCGGTGACGCTAGAGTTGTTATGGGAAATAGCATGTGGTTACCGAAGGTTGTTCGGAGTCCCGGATGAGATCCCGGACGTCACGAGGAGTTCCGGAATGGTCCGGAGATGAAGATTTATATATGGGAAGTCCTCATACGGTCACCGGAAGTGTTCGGGGGTTTGCCGGTATTGTACCGGGACCACCGAAAGGGTTCCGGGGGTCCACCGGGAGGGTCCACCTGCCCCGGAGGGCCCTATGGGCTGTATGTGGAGGGGAACCAGCCCCTAAGTGGGCTAGGCACCATTCCCCCCTAGGGCCCATCACTACAAGAAACATGTCAACTAGTGACCTTCTGTCAGTGACCCTGAAAGAATTGGTCATAGATCTATGACCATTTTAGACCAATTGGTCAAAAACTGTTCGGGGGGCTCCAAACCCTAAACTATAACGACCATTTTGGTCAGAAAGGTCGTAATTTCCTTACACGAAATAGTCATAAAGCAGATAACACTGGTCTGCTGCCTTATTTCTAGCTGATCATGACCAATATAGATGGTCATAACCTTGTAAATTGTGGTGGGTTGCTATGACTAGGCGCCACCTCATCAGTTTTGCCTATGTGTCATGTCCATGTGGCAGTTTTTGCCCTAGGTTGTGAAGCAACCTATATTTCTGTCATTCCCAAAATTCCCCAAAAAATCTCATAAATTCTTTGGGTCATATCTTCATCAAATATGTAAAAATCCTTCCTTGCCTAGTTCAAAACTAATTCAACAATATTCGTTTTCCTATTCTGTTCACAACAGCACTTTATGAAGGAAGTGCTATTTATATATTCTTGATTGCCCTCGGAATTTTTGGGCACTCTTTCCTATCCAAATCATTACCGCATTACAAAATTCAGCTCAATTTGCCTAGCAAATCTTCCTCGGTAAATTTCCAAAGTTTTTTTCCACCTAGAAGCATTGTGAAGGAAGTACCTTTTTTATATATCGAAATGACATGAAATTTATACAGTTCCTTCATATGCCCAAATTATCACCTCCTCTAAATTGCAGCTCAGTCAAATCATCTATGTGAGCCCAGGTTTAATTTATATTTTATGGCCAAATTGGCATGTTGCAAAGCAAGTGTTATATAGACCCCTCCTATTACCCTCAAACTTTTCGAGCACTCTTCCATACCCAAATCATTGCCACATGATAATATTCAGCTCAATTTTCCTATTAAATCTTTCTCAGGAATTT